TTATTATTATTATTATTATTATTATTATTATTTCATTATTATCATTGTCATTATCATTATTATAAAAACAATTAGCATAAGATCTATCCTCTTTACAGATAGTAAGTATTCAACATAGTACTGTTAACCATAAGCTCTATGCTGTGCACTAGATCTCTTCTTGTAGCCACTATGAAAAACATTATGGAAGTTCCTCAAAAAATTAAAAATAGAATTATCATATGATCCAGGAAGCCCACTTTCTGATACATGTCCAAAAGAATTGAATTCAGATTCTCACAGGAACATCTACACTCTCACGTTCACAGCAGCATTACTCACAGTAGCCAATAAACGGAAACAATCTAAATGTCCATCAGTAGATGAATGCAAAAAGAAAATGGAGAATATTCATGCACTATTCAGCCTTAAAAAGAAAGGAAATCCTGCCATTTGCAACAAACATTAATGAATCTGGAGGACATTATGCTAAATGAAATAAGCCAGACACATCACAAATGCTACATAATTTAGCTCTTTTTTGTTTTCATGGTTTGTTTGCTGGTTTTAAAATTCTTTGTCAGATTTCTCTCTATGGATCTCATACTTCTGATACTATTGCCAGTTGCATAATTCTTTTGATTTCAGTTTCTGATTATTTGTTATCCATACATAGAAATAGTATTGATGTTTGTATTTCGGTCATGTATTCTGCAACCTTACAATTCTCACTAGTTTTTTTGTGTATTCAGTTGGATCTTATACATGGAATGTTGCCTACAAATAAATATTTTTTTTCTTTCCATTCTAGATAATTTTTATTAGTTGTTCTTACCTTACTGCACCAGGACAATGTCAGATGATGTGGTGGAGAACAGATATTTTAGCCATCCTTAGAGGGAAGGCATTCAACCATTCCCACTTATTGTGATGTATAATTACCACAAATTCCCTGAATTAGGAAGAGCAAGCTCCCTTTTATTCACACTTTAAGAGTTTGTAATCATGAATGGATGTTGGATTTTGTCAGATGATCATGTTATGTCTTTTTCAGTTTGTCAATGTGGTGAATTACATTCGTTGATTTTTTTTTAATGTTAGGCAAATCCTACATATTTGTGAAAACCCATATTTAGTTATAATGGGTCATCCTTTGCATATATTGTGGGATTCCATTCTAGAAAATTTTGTTTAGACTATTTTCATCTGCTTTCATGGCATGATGCTGGTCTGATTAGTTTCCTAATCTTGTAATATCTGTACTTGGTTGTGATGTCAAATAGTACTGGATATATAGAATAAATTAGAAATTATGCTCTCCTCTTTAATTTTCTCTTTTGTAGAAACAGCATATTTCTTCCTTAAATATTTGGTAAAATTTACTAGAGATTCTATCTGTATCTGGAGTTTCTTTGTGAGAAATTTTTAAATAGAAATTTAATTTTCTTAACAGACAGAGTTATTCGGGTCGTCAGTGTATTCCTGAAGGAAGTTCGGTAGTCTGCGTCTGTATCGTTTTGCTAGGGCTGCCATAATAAAGCACCACAGATTGGGTGACTTAAACACCAGAAATTATTGTCTCACAGTCCTGAAGCCTAGAAATCCAAAATCAGCATTTCACAGGCTTGCTCTTAATCATGCAGAATCCTTCCTTGCCTCTTCCTTTCTTCTGGTGATTAGTTGGCAGTGTGATTCACTGTCATTCTTGGACTTGGAGGTGCACCACTCAAATCCTTTACATTTATATGTCTTCATATGATCTCTGTATGTCCAAATTTCTCCTTTCTTATAAGGACACAAGTCATACTGGACTGGGGCCTACCCAGGTGACTTCATTTCAACTCGACTAAATCTTCTAAATAGGCCGTATTATGAGGCACTGGGTTAGAGCTTCAGCATACCTTTTTTTGGCAGGGGGCAAAATTTCACTAGTAACCGTGTCTTTGGGGGAATGCCTCCATTTTATCTCTGTTCAATTTATTGGCACAAAACTGTTTACAAGGTTCTCACTTCTCTTTTAATATCTGTACATATTCTAGTGTGTCAGCTCCACTCCCTGACACTGATCATTTTGTGTCTTCTAGCTTTTTTCCTAATTCAGGGTAGGTAAGAGTTTTTCAGAACTGCCTGGGTTGATTCTCTGTCAGAACCAGAAAATTCATTCAAGTAGTGCATTTGGTAAGCATAGGACGCACCTCGTTGACTTAATCTCCTGGATTGCTGTGCTTTATTGCCTGACAGCAAGTGCTTTTAGAACCCTTATGCTATTAATTTGGTTCCTCTTTTGGTTGTTTCAGGCAGTAGGTTAAATCTAGTCCCTATTATTTTATCCTTACTGGAAATATTCTTACTAATTTATTTTTAAAAACTATTTTGCTTTAAAATATATTGATTCTTTACAAAGACTCAGAATATTTAAATACAATTAATCAGAGCATGCTCTGTCTCAAAATATACTTTAACAAACAGAATATGACACTTCAAAATAATGACTTTGAGGAAAGAAAGTATTTCTCACTTTGAATTGTTTCAATTTATTTTTTAATATATTTTAAATATTGTCATCCAACCATGACAAAATATAAAAAAAAAAACAGCTGATAAATTCAACTTATACTTGAAAAAATATCTTACGGTTATACATGGATTTCATTTTATTTTATTGACTAGGTTAAAAATAGACAAGGGACTATTGTCCCTTGGTGAAAATCAAGTCATAACAAAAATGAAGTGTCATTACTAATATATGACTATGTTTATCTATTTTTGTTACCTTACTTTATGAAAAACCTTTATAAATACACATAAATATTTATAGATAAACTTTATATATATTTATATAAATATTTAACTTGCTTCTTCTTGATGTTGTTTCAAAGTAAATAGATTACATACAACTGACATGAAGCTAAAGTATTTTTAAACCTGAAACAGTTACTCTATCCCAGAAATTTTAAAGACATAGCATTTTTGTAACATCCATTCTTTTTAGTTTGACATTTATTTAGCTTTCAGGATGAGAATATAGTAATAATTGGCAAGTCCTTGTAACCTGCAGATAGGAGGAAGTTATCCCCACTTACACTGTAGGAACAGGCAAACTCTACTATCTTTTGAGAAGTGACAGCATGAAGAAAGCTTGTGAAGCAGATAACATTAGACCTTGATCCCCTGTCATCACCTCTTGTCACCAGCACTTCTCAGCACCTGTGTTTTTGTTTTGTTCTGC